TCACTTAAGGGACTACTTTGGCAGTGGCAAACAAGCACAGTTAAAGATGCAACTCACAATCGCTGTTATGAACACCATTTCAGTTTAAGTCATATTACAAATACCTATTCTCCCTGTTGAAGAGTCATTGTCTGAAGTGCTCGTCTGCTGTATAGGTATAAATTATAAGGCAGCGTTCATTAAGTGAGGTGTTGTGTGGCCTTTAGGTTGAATGCACCGTTATATATTTATAACCTAGAATTAATATCAATGTCACATTTACAGGTACAGTGTACTACTGCTTGGTATTCAGTCGTGCTATACAGCTTTCCGATGTGTCTCCGGGTGGTAATGTATTGTCCTGTATGACGTCCCAAGTTTTGCTTCACGTGATAAGATTCTTCAGGAATTTAATTTAGTTATTATACTTTGATACATTTGTAATCCCCTCCCCCCTCTTTCCCCTTCCTTCCCCGAAGGGATCAGACGCACGTACCACACAACGCTACGGTCCTACACGTCCACCAGAGGTGGGCCGTGTAGGACCAGCAAGGCCTTCTCTGCTGGCTTAGAGATTGTTAGAATCAGAAAATTATATATTTTTTATAGTTTAATATACATTTTAATTAATGCTATATGTATTTTACAAAGTTCGTTCCCATCAGTCTATTAACGTCATTTCATTGCAACTCTCTCCCTAAGTTGCGCTGCTTCCAGTGCAAGCTCATATAAATTAGAGCTTTTATCCAATCAGATTTTCCACCTGTGCTGCCTCCGGGTGAAAAATCTACCCTGAGGCCTTCAGAATTTCGAGTGAATCCCCTCTGCTATTGAAGCAAATGGCGACGATGTTGTTGTCATATTCTTTAACCAATAAGAATTCGAGTTTTCCATGTTGGGCGTGTTCTTTGACACGCCAGAGCCTTCTAGCTGGCCAAGCCGCCGACGTTAGCATTTTTCGTGTGGCGTGATCGGAGGGCCAGTGAGCTAACTGAAGTAAAACTATCTTGATTTGAAGCTTTCGTGACTGCCGTGGCAAGAGGTTATATAGGTAAGAAAGGGGGGAGGAGCAAGGGGGGAGAGAGGGGGGGGGGCTGCATGAGCGCTAGGGGGAGAAGTGAGGCTGGGGGGGGGGGAAGTAGGCGGGGCTAGAAGTGGGAATCTGTGGATAACGGGGGGAATGTAACCCGGCAGGTATGATGGAAACAACCACAACCAAATTTAGATTTAAAGCTTTCGTGACTGCAGTGATTCATATTCTTGGTTATTTCGGTAAAGTCACGTTGAAGGGGAAAAAATTAAATAATAAAATATATATTTGGATTTAAAGCTTTCGTGACTGCAAGGATTCATCTTCTTTGGTTCTTATCAATTTATTATTTTATTCTCATTCTACGTGACTTTACCGAAAGAACCAAAGAAGAAAAATATATATAAAACAATAAAATTCTCACGACGTTTCCCTTCAACGTGACTTTACCGAAAAAAACAAGAATATCAACCACAACCAGTTAAGGCTTTACCTGGTTAATAACATCCTTCCAATGATTGCTAATTTGTGTCCATCTTCTCGGTTGAAGTTATGTCTATGTTTATATATCTGGATGGCTTCATGAACGAACCTTTGATACTTGCCCGAAGGTTGCAGAGTACCTTGGTCTCGTAAAAAACAATATCATGCGAGCCCACAGCGTTATAACAATGGTCAGCCACGGCAGAGGTATTGGTTCTACCGTGTTTCAGATCTGCCTTGTGTTCGCGAATACGGTCCGAGACATGTCGTTATATGTAGCGCTTTAGATTTTTAGTTTAGATTTTTACTTAGCCCTGTTATTTTTTTAACGAACAATTGCTGAAGGAGGAGAAATGGATTTAGTGGAAGATTTAGTGGCAAAGCCTTTTTCTAGAAGGAACTTTCAAGAAAAGCTGGAAATTGTGAGGAAGGGTCGATCAACCCCGCAGCTAGCAGGCCTGTCCCAGCTATGTATTATTGCTTGCTTTAGATCGTTGCTGCTGGTGTGAATGATGTTCAGATTCAGTGGCCTGGCTGTGCCTACGAATGTGCATGGTGGCATGTGCGTTTAGGCCCAGCAGCTTAACTGGAAATCTGTGGGGAAGCCTGTTGAATCCTGATTGTGTTATTTGTGTTTTACGAAATATTTGCTTGCTTGGTCGTATGAGTAAATGTGACTGGTTGTGAGTTTGTTCTTGTATCGTTGGTAATGCCATTGATTTTGGCAATGCGATGTCTATTTGTGATGCAGCATCCTGTCACACTGCGTAATAGTGGTACATCGTTGATGGTTTCAGTCACCATGTATTCATGTCTCTGCAATTCGTGTATTTTAACTCTCATAGGTGTTGAGCCTCGTGTTAAATCACTTTATTCCACTCGATAAAGGTTACTGTCACTGTGAATATGGGGTGGTTACGTCGAATGACAACAGCCTCTAGCACTAGTGTCATGATGAGGAATGACAACAGCCTCTAGCACTAGTGTCATGGTGAGGAATGACAACAGCCTCTAGCACTAGTGTCATGGTGAGGAATGACAACAGCCTCTAGCACTAGTGTCATGGTGAGGAATGACAACAGCCTCTAGCACTAGTGTCATGGTGAGGAATGACAACAGCCTCTAGCCCTAGTGTCATGGTGAGGAATGACAATAGCCTCTAGCCCTAGTGTCATGGTGAGGAATGACAACAGCGTCTAACCCTAGTGTCATGGTGAGGAATGACAATAGCCTCTAGCCCTAGTGTCATGGTGAGGAATGACAATAGCCTCTAGCCCTAGTGTCATGGTGAGGAATGACAATAGCCTCTAGCCCTAGTGTCATGGTGAGGAATGACAACAGCCTCTAACCCTAGTGTCATGGTGAGGAATGACAACAGCCTCTAACCCTAGTGTCATGGTGAGGAATGACAACAGCCTCTAGCCCTAGTGTCATGGTGAGGAATGACAACAGGCTCTAGCACTAGTGTCATGGTGAGGAATGACAACAGCCTCTAGCCCTAGTGTCATGGTGAGGAATGACAACAGCCTCTAGCCCTAGTGTCATGGTGAGGAATGACAACAGCCTCTAGCACTAGTGTCATGGTGAGGAATGACAACAGCCTCTAGCCCTAGTGTCATGGTGAGGAATGACAATAGCCTCTAGCCCTAGTGTCATGGTGAGGAATGACAATAGCCTCTAGCCCTAGTGTCATGGTGAGGAATGACAACAGCCTCTAACCCTATGTTCATGGTGAGGAATGACAACAGCCTCTAACCCTAGTGTCATGGTGAGGAATGACAACAGCCTCTAGCACTAGTGTCATGGTGAGGAATGACAACAGCCTCTAGCACTAGTGTCATGGTGAGGAATGACAACAGCCTCTAGCCCTAGTGTCATGGTGAGGAATGACAACAGCCTCTAGCACTAGTGTCATGGTGAGGAATGACAATAGCCTCTAGCCCTAGTGTCATGGTGAGGAATGACAACAGCCTCTAGCCCTAGTGTCATGGTGAGGAATGACAACAGCCTCTAGCCCTAGTGTCATGGTGAGGAATGACAAGAGCCTCTAGCCCTAGTGTCATGGTGAGGAATGACAATAGCCTATAGCACTAGTGTCATGGTGAGGAATGACAACAGCCTCTAGCCCTAGTGTCATGGTGAGGAATGACAATAGCCTCTAGCCCTAGTGTCATGGTGAGGAATGACAACAGCCTCTAGCCCTAGTGTCATGGTGAGGAATGACAACAGCCTCTAGCACTAGTGTCATGGTGAGGAATGACAATAGCCTGTAGCCCTAGTGTCATGGTGAGGAATGACAATAGCCTATAGCCTGTAGCCCAAGGGTCATGATGAGGTCATTCAAAGGAGGTGTAATTGCGGGAGGGATAGCACTGAAGGCCTAGGTGTAAAATACACGGCCCGCTACTGACGTCCACGTTGGTTGTCTGTTAAAGCCGCCTATCCCGCTGTGCACCACCCACCTGTCGCGGAAGTTATACACCCCCCCGCCGCCGTGAATGGATCAATACAAATAATGAACAAAAAAATACGTTCAAATTTTTTTGAGAGGCAATTAAAAACTGAAGAAGCTTCCAGCATGCAATGAAAATGTCAGACAATGCCCCAAAACAAGCTGGACAATCTAATAGCACATCTGAGAGCAATGTTACAACGAGCTTGTTTGCCCGTCCACGGGCGGGTGTCTATTGCAGTAAATCTGAAATATTAAATAAAAAAATTGTTCAGCTCATGATTATTAATGAGGGGGGTTGCCCCATGTGGATTGACGTCACCCGCTAATGGTTATTGGGGAGGGGTGCGGCATGTGGAGTGACGTCACCCCACATGGTTATTGGGGAGTGCGGCATGGGGAGTGACGTCACCCCTCATGGTTATTGAGGGATGCATGTGGAGTGACGTCACCTGCTCATGATTATTGATGAGGGGGGGCTTCATATGGAGTGACGTCACACAAGGGACACACATTCTTGGCTCATATTAGTAACTAGTGAAAGCTGTAATATTAAAGATGTTAATGAACGTTTTATTGTGATTGTTAATTGTATTAGGAAATGTAGCCCAAATATTTATTTACTTATTAAATGAAATTAAGGTCTTTGGAACATTTCTTAGTATACGATATTTTGTGTGAATCTCTTATCACTGTTCAGAAGGTTTCCCTGCAGTTGGCTGTCCTTGATGAACACTTTGATCCGCTGAGGATATTTAGATCTAGACAGAGCCACGTACAACTGGCCATGGGAAAACACGGGGTCCATTGAGTTAAATACCCACATTTTTAAAAGTGTGACCTTGCGACTTGTTGACTGTCATCGCATACGCAGGAATTATCGGAATTTGTCGTCGTTTCAGTACGATAGGAAGAGTGACATCGCTTGGAGCAAGGTCGATGCACGGGATGAAGACGATCTCGCCTCGGTTGCAAAGGCGAACAACAATCTCTGTGGATGTATCGTTTGAAAAAAAAATAAACCACCGTAACTTCAACCTTAGCACTGTTTTCAAATCACCTGAAGCTGTTAACTGACAAATGTATCTTCACCGATGGCCGCTTGATAGCGAAGAGTGAAGATAGTAGAGTGGTGACACTGTCTGCAGTAACTTAGCAAATAACGAAGAGCAAAGAGAAGCATTAGAGTAACGAATACATTGATCGGAGTATAATTCCATCTTGTCTAAATATAATGGCAGGGAATATTGAAACAAAAAAAAGATTGTCATCAAACACTTCACTGCATTTCACTGTAGCACTGTATTAATGGCAGTGGCTTTTGCACGAAACTAAGTCATCAAACGCCTGACGTAATGTCACAGTAGCATTGTATTTAACGGACGTTCAATTACTTACAATTCACTGCTCTGATACTTACTTATCTTCCGCTTTCGCTCGCTGGGGGCTGAAAACAATTGGAATTCGATATGATGTCTGCAAAGTAGCAGAGAAGTGTTTATTGTAGCATAATTTGGAAGCGTAAAGTAGACGTAACCTTTTGTTGGATTCGCTGAAGAAATAAATAAAGGCACCAAATGCACTGTGATGCTGCGTAGAATTATTTATTGCCTTCGCTTGCTGTAAAGATACGTAAAATCGAGAGCGAATTTGCGTTAAAAAATTATCGTAGCCGCTCGACTTTCTGCGTTAGTCAAAAAATCCAGGCACACGTTAATAATGAGGGGGGGGGGCATGTGGTGTGACGTCACGCGTGGGACACACAGCCTTTTTTGGCTCGTTATATTAGTTGCTGCGTTTATTTCCTTATTAGCTTTTACTTTCCATAAACAAAGGCCAAAATGAAAGCTAATTTGCGTCAACAAATTTTCGTTTCCGCTCCCCCTTCATGCAGAGTGACATCACTTGTTCATGATTATTAATGAGGGGGGGCTGGTCGACGTGGAGTGACATCACGCGCGTTACACACAGATATTCTTGGCTCATATTAGTAATTAGTAATACTGCATTATTGATATGCATTGTATATACCATATCCATTGTTATTTATTTTGAACTGCTACTTATCCCAAAAGGACTCATTCAATAACCTTAAAGCTTGAGGGCGTGCTTAGGTGCACACATGGCAAAAGCTGTAATTAAGGCACAGCAGCTTTCAGGAGACGTTTAACCATTCATAGCACCTTCTCGAATAAAACCCAGCCCTTGATTATATCACCTCTATAGGTAGAACGCGCGACATTTTGTCCGTATCTAAGCTTATTAGCAATTCATTGAAGATAAAAAGTATCCAAATGTTTTAAAACAACATTTAAAACGGACAAATGAACAGTCAATTATTTTTCACCGAAATAAGATGAACAAAAGTATGGTCGAATATCTTTCCCCAAAACACTGACATCGCAGGATCGTGGGAGATGGCAGCAGCTTTGGAAGGCATTCCTCCAGCAGTAGATGGACCATGGCTTATAATGATAATGACGAAGGTAAACAGATGCTACTTAAGCCTCGGCACTTCCATGGTCCACACCAGGGGAGCATCGGTTTCAACAGTGACCACTCCACTTTCATCCATCTTGTTAGACGTGCTCACGAGCGTACCAAATTTCAGCTGAGCGTCGCCTGGAATAAAACACAGCTCATTAAGAATCACTAAATGTGCTTATTCAGCTGGGACATTAAGTAATGTGCAAACTGGGAACATACAAATGAAGCAAATGTCAACATTTTTATAACCATGGGAACCCTTTCACCAGTGTCAAGATAAAAATGGTTTACCCTTTTTATATTTATGCCAGATAAAATAAAAGCCATATTTTAGTATTTACTACGTCAACATTTTCGTTTATGGGTGGGTTGTAACAACTTACATGGACGTGTTTATTCAATGTTTTAGAAAAACGGATGGATAAATCCTGCAAAGTGTTTTGTCACATGTTCTACTTATGAAAAGTAGAGTAATTGTTGGAATGCAGTTATTTCTACGTGTTAAAAGTCAACAATTGGTATTGAGATCATGAATGAAAGCATCAAATTAATTGAAAAAAATAACCATCTAATTCCAGCTGAAGAGGCCGAGTACTACCCTCGGATGCTGCTGACCTCATTCTTTCGAAGATTAATTTGATATTAAATTTTACGCTAAATGCCTTGGAGACTCAGCTGGAGGTCAAGGCCAGCCCCAACCTCGATTTGGCGAGTGGTGTGACCTACTCAGGTTCCACTTGAGGCCGGAGGTGGTGACGTGGTAGCATGGTTCTCCCACAGGAATGAGGCCACACCACGACCCCTGCAGATCCTTGTCCACACGGATTGTGCTTTTGCCCTTCAACAGGGATATGAGAGGAAAAAAATGACTCTTGCAAAACATGGAATTGCTGTGATTCTATTAGAATGCAGGAATAAAAACAATATTAAAATGTTTCTCTAGAACAAGACTTGGAACAGTTGACAAAGCCTTTGCTGTTGCACCAACATTTTGGAACAAACCTTGTTGCCTCCCTAGGCATCGTAAATCTTCCTTCAAACACATTCTGAAGCAGAACATTGGCACTGCATACAATCACATTTTGCAAATGTGATTTGTAACACTGATCCTTACCTGTGTATCGATATTACTATTTTAATGTGCAATTTTATTGAGGGACTCTGTGTTGTCTTGGTGTGTCTGGGACTGTTTTTGTCATTGTTTTGCTGCTTTTCCCTAGCTTCCATTTCGTGTCGAAAAATCGGTATAACATTATGCACTTGTGCGATTTGTACTTATATATATTCTTTATTAAACTTTTCATGCCTTGCTTAGCTTTTCTCTATTTTGCATTCCTATCGTTTGTTGTTATCATATTGTTTGTTGTTTTAACTTGCTGACCCGCCCCTAATGGACATTTGTCAAAAAAGAGCTTCATAGCTCATCGGATTCCTCATCCAGTCTCAATAAAGATTCTGCTTCTCATATGAACAAATAATCACATTGTAAATGGAAAAGTCTTCTTAATCATGATTAGCCCATGCGCTATTATTTGGCAAGGAGATACACTTTACCAAAGTTATTCACAGCAACGTTAGAAGATGTTTTGTGAAAATACAATGAGATAAGTAAATGCATCAACATACATTTATAAATTATGCATCTTAGTGATGAGTCATTAAATCATTCAATATCTTGCACTTATATATATAATAATGATTTATTTCTCGTCTCTAATAGACCTTACCAACAATACCAGGATGGAAGTTAAACAAAAATAAAAATTCAACTTAGTTTTCAAAGCTGATGTTTCACAATTGATTTTTGGATTAGGCCACGTCATTACATTTTTTTAATGTATATTCAAATGTTTACCTGGAACTCCCTTCCCCCAGGCATCTGTGTCCCTCTGTTTATGCCCAGGATTAAGACCTCCACTTTTGACCTCTGCCAGTGACTCCATCTATAAACTATTTGTGCAGTTTTTTCTGGACAGCATCTTGAGATGTGGTGTAGATGTTATATCAATCTATATAAATATAGTACGGAATACTGTATTGATCTCCAAAATTGTTCACGATTGCAACTTATTACAATTGCCACCTGTCCTGGTTTTCCCAAATTTGTCCTCTTTTTGAGGTAGCTGTCCTGGGAAATCTGTTTGTCTTCTGGGACAATATAAGTCGTGGGTTTTGCCATTTATGCAACAACATACCATTCAAGACAATGCACTTACATTTGGCTCTCTCCTATTCCTGCATTGTGAGACAATCTTCTTCCCATGATGTGTGCTGATTTTTTTGTATCTCATAAGTGGCAACCCTACCTCCCGTAGTAGGCAGATGAGCGAGGAGCCCTGTATGACATAGAGGGGCAGGTTGGTGAGGGGCCGTGTTTGGTACAAGGTCTCCACGCTCGCCAATATCTGGTCAAAACGACCGCTCAGTCCACCCAGAGTCACCACCATATCGATCTGCACAGCACAAACGGCAATCACATCACAGTGTTGTAGTTTATTATGATCACGGGTAATCCATTGTTATTTGGAATATAAATGTACAATATTTAGATCCCTCCAATGGCCCCGCATTTAATATGTATATTTTAAATGTCTTCTATAGATTCATCCATACCAAACTCTTCCTTTTCATCTTATTCTGCTTCACTTCATGTACTCTCTACTCCAACAGCCCCCAGTGAACCTTTGCTCAGTGGGAGGTTGCGATTTATCCTCTTCCTGGCCACCTGTGCTGTTGACTCTCTTTTGTTCGTCGAGGCTCAATACTTCTCTGTTCTACCTATGACTCGTTCTCTTAATGAATAGTATATAAGAATTCCTCCAGGCTAAATGAAGATTCTGAATGTGAAGTATATATATAGTTCAGTAAGGCTGTCTACCAATATTAAATATAAAAAATCAGCTAACCTACGCTTGGAAATAAGATTCAGCATGTGCAATGGTCAGTGATGATCTTGCAGGGTATATGTGAGCATGAGCAATGTGTGGACTGGGCAGTGTCACCTTTGTATTGTGGTCACGGACTCGCTGCAGGAGAAGCTGCAGAGCCTTGGTAAAGTCCGTGTGGTTTTGGTCAGGAGTCTCAATGAAGTAACTGCCCTGTAGAGCCCAACACGACCATAAATACCTCCATGCGCTTTGAAAATCCAAAAACTTTGTATTGTCCCAGAGAATGGGATAAAAAAAAAAATCTTGCCATTTCCCACAAATGTATCCCAATTGTGCTATTAGTGTAATGGCATGAGATGAAGTATCCATTTGTGTTCGAGAACAGCCCATGGAATCAGATGTCGCAGAGCTACATCTGAGGCCCCCTCATGTGCAAACAGTAGGGGGCAGCACTTTCCCACGCACAATTATTCCTCCAAAGGATATGAATGTTCCTTACATTACAGTACAGTAAAACTGACATTTTAATTTCTAAAACCTGAAAATAAGCCAAATGACTAACACAGAACCAAAAGAATGATGTTTTTTTTTTTGTGCAGCCATTTGTAACTGGCCTGAGACAATGAACTCACTACACTTGAGAACCAGGTTTCATCACAGGCGAGTGCCTGGATTTGAATTCAGAATTTTAACAGTGCCAGCTTGGTGCTCTGAGCTCTGACCTACCTGCCACCTACTGCCCCATAGTATCACCTTATTTGATGCCCTCCCTTACCTTTTCTTTGTAGTACTCCTGGACGGCTTTCTCGATTGAGTCAAAATCTCCGCTGATGAAATCTGGGATAAACCTTAATTCACAAAATAATTTCAACGTCAGACTCACTGCTAATTAGACGTGCAGTTTAAGATTTACTGGATATCAATGTGGCCTAAACGTCTCTGAAACAGCAGTGCATATGCACTATATACATACAGGGATATCTTAACATGATTAATATGTATTAAAATCAATTAGGTTTTACCTTAAATTTTCAGTTTAGCTTTTAGCCATAGTTTCAGATGAGAGTATAGAAACAGTTATTTGTAATATAGAAGAAATTCCTACACTGCACTCACATACTATTTCAGATATGTTTTCATTCGATTTTCATTCATTTTTAAATAAATTGCAAAAATTTACTGCACAACCACAATGGACATAAAAATGATACGTGTAGTGCAGCAGTTAGTACAGTGGTTCGAAAACCCGATTCCTGTCCACGGCTGGCATCAGTGGTAATACTTGAAGTGGCGCGGAGCACTATTCTTCGCCAACCCGCACTGACCAGCGTGGTTAAGTATGGTCGAACAACCCCCGAAACAGACATGGCATGGTGAGCCCTTCACCTAGCACTAATTTGACAAAGGGCTGTAAATTATTTTTTTCTGTATGAATGATAATCCTATGATCAAATCACCCAGAATGGCCCCGATATCTCCAGACCTTTTTAAGCTAAGCTAAGCTGGGTTAAGCTGGGATAATACCGAGACGGGTGACCACCGTGCACAAAAGATGGTTCAAGTACGCTTTGTGGACAGCAGATACCACTGCACTACAGAAACATCCATTGCTGTTTCTGCACTTCCCCCATCATCATCAACTTGCATAGACCAGCAGCGTGGAGGCATCGTCAAACAACCCTGGCGGGCTGTACGCCGTGAAGAGGAGCCCTCATCCAGCAATGCACCGACAAACAGGTTTGTACATTGGCATTAATTGCATAGTGTGTCAAGCGGCCAATAGGTGCCTCACATGAGAGCACAGGGGTAGCACGTGGGCGTGACATATTTGAAGACGTGTCCTGCTTGTACGTCAGAGTCGCTGGTTCACCGTGGGGCTTTACCTGTCACGGGAGTTACCCATGCACTTGTATAGTGCGTTCGCACCTCCATCCGCGCACGCTCGAATCGCAGCTGATGGACCGGCAGAAAAAAACAAATGGTGGGTAGGACAAAGCCGACAAATAATCATCATATTCAGCAGCAACCGAGATAAAATTCACTTCTGGATTAAGGCCACCACCATCTCTCGTGGTCATGTGATACAAGAATCCATCTCGCACCAGAACATGGGCTGATTTCATTGCTTCATCTACGTGGTTAAAATGCTCGCGGGTATATGTTTACACTGGTTAAAAAAGTTTTTCTACATTATCTGAAAATACGCAAGTATATAATGAGTGTTAAACAAACAGGCATGGGAAGGACACATCAGAGGAAGTGATGGCCTGTGGTGGAGGCTATAGGGTCTAATTATAAAGGGTATAATTATAACAGATGGACATTTCAGTTCATAAGAGTCATTGGCCATATGCTAAAATCTGCCGTGGCCTGTGTCTGGACGAGAAGTCCCAGAAAGCTCAGCTTGCTCACATTTGCTCCAAAGCAGCTGCAGCCTTTCTGGTCCATCGAGCGGCTGGTTTAGAATCAAGAGCCCCAGCTTCTCACTGCCTGAAACAGAACACACATGCAGCAGAAATGGATTAACGATTACACAGGCTCGGTTTTCAAAACGACACAGCAATGAGCGCAAACATGTCTTCTTCCAGTCTTAGCCTCTAGAAACTGACCACGAATTGTCCATGAGCCTAAATTAGATATTTCACTTGTTGGTACCAGCCGAGGTGGCAGAACTTCAGTGCATATTTTCTACGGGTCCTCCGAGTTTTTCCCTACACGTTTATAAACACGCGTTTAGGTTATTTAGATGACTTGGCCGCTATAAATTTCCACGTAAGCAAATTCGTTGAGGTATAATTTGTGGCCAGGTTGCTTCTAGAAAAGAAGCTAATAGCTCCGTAGGATTTACTCGGTAAAATAATATCTTCGTTTACTTTATATTTTTAGTGATTTGCTTACCTTTCCTATACTTTGCACTCTGATCGTGTTTTGTATTGTTTGTTGTTGTAACTTTCTGACCCACCCCTACTGGACATCTGTGAAAAAGAGCTTTATAGCTCATCAGATTACTCCAGTATAAATAAAGATTCTGATTTGTTTCCAAATTCTTTATGTGGTCAATAACAGTGAATTGTGTGACAACCATTTGAAATGAGTGGGTTATAAAATAACTTGCTCTCATTAGCCATATAAATAAATAATCACAACCAAAGTTTTGCTACCTTAGGTGGTACTAATTTTTGCTACAGCCCACGGACTAACCGAAACATGTTGTGCTTACAACCAGCAAAGTGATGATTGGCTGGTTTGTTGGTAAGTGGTGACCTAAGGGAAGGAAATTGTCTCAAGCCAGCCAGGAATGATATATTCGTGTTAAATTGTCTAATAGAAATATCCAACAGGTTCTGTGAACCCAAGTAATTTTAATGAGTTCAACTGCACCACTGTGAAGACATTTACGACACACATTGCTCTGGGGACATAACAATTCTTCTTCTATAAGCTAATTGCTGACAGCAGGTCACCTTCTAATGGGAGAAATGCTGACCTGCTCGCCTTTGCACAACTGTAAAAACACGGTCAAAACCGGATAACCATTTGGATTTATGATTTAGGATGTAATTGCGACCGAATCTTAAGACGTTGAATGGAAACAGTGGGTGTATTTATTATATATAGAGGCAGTGAGTCATAGGCAGAGGTAAAATTAAGGTCTTAATCCTGGAATTGAGCGTTGGAGAAGTATCTCTGGTTCGTGCAATGTTTTCATTTCTCCAAAAAAATCCAGCCACTTCATTTAGGATGATTTACTTCAGCCGTACAAGTGAAACTCAAGTGGATTTTGGAGTGTTTAATTAACCATATTATGAACCGTTGCAAAAATTATGTTAAAAACAAACCAAACTTCACTGCCAAAACAGACACAATGCATACACTTTGTGCATGCATTGTTTCTGTTGGGGAATTTTTTCAGTCTAAAAATGTTTAGGTCAATAAGTAGTAGCAATGTACTGCATTAATAAATGTACATTTAAGTGGTGGATATAGATGTTTTTTTTTGTCCTGAGAAATAAGATCCTATAGGCTCAAGAAATAAATGAGCCCTAAGCACTGAATAAAAATAAGTCAGCAGACATGGCATCACTCACGATCAATGTCACGCATGCTTTACAGGCATGAAGGAGGCGGCTACAAATACGGTCTCCGGCACAACTCAAATAAGCCTCTGACGACACGCGGTGCAAACAGATACAATATCTCAAAGAGCAACATGATCGTACATCACAAGCTGTGCTTCCTTTTCGTCGCATACATATTAATGGAAGAAAATATGAGTGCGGGGCGCGTGCGTGCGTGCACTGGAGTGCTGATACGGACTCTATGCCAAGGTAACATCAATGTTGCATAAAGATGATGCATCGTTGCTCTTGCGAGACTGGAGGAGGGGACATCCGTCTTACAAAGGACAACATATCCGAGTATTGCGCCATTGATTTATTTAGTTCTTTGCTGTGCAAATATACAATTTCAATTCTGCAGAGGCATATATATTTGAGAGATGCATCGTACAACGAGAAGTTTGAGTTTGTGCCCTTAGCGCCATGTGCAACGATTGTATGAGTTTGTGGAATATATCACGTTTTGCCGTTAGGATTATTTTACACCTGCTAATTAAAGTATGCTTCTTAATGAGACCGTATGAAGTATAAAACGTAAGGAGTATTTTACACATACTGTGTATGCGACTGCACATGCTGTATATGTGTAGGTATATGGGATATTCAGGCTACACGTGAACATAACTTGACCCACTAAAACAAAGCAATTATATGCTACTTTTCTCCTTATTTCCAACACAATATAGAAAAAAATGTTTATTTTCCAGAGGTAGTTGTTTAGCAATCACATTAGTGTGAACTGGTGCACATAGTACACTCATTACACCCTTCAAAAAGGCAAAGAGGTATCTCTGGAGTGAGCATGCAGGAAATCAGGTGCAAGGGTTTGCTTGGAAAAACTGAACAAGAAAAAAACCCATACATGCTCAGCCCTTTATCAATTCATTGCTACATGAAGGCCTCCCCAGGTCGTGTAGTGCATGGGGGTTATTTAACCATACTGCACCAAGCAGGCGACTGAGGGTTGGTGATAAGGGGCGGGCGGGGCACAGCTTTCGGTTCAGATTTCACTCACCGCTGATGTTGACCATGATCGAGGCCAATACCGCAGTGTGCTAACCACCGTGTTACCGATCTTAACCGAAACAGTATAAAATACTAGTTGTGCATTGCGGTGTGCTGAATTTGTATTAATAATCCACATGGTCATAAACACTCACACGGTATTGGCTGCATGTGTTTCAATTACCGCACAAAGACAGATTCCTGGTATAGCCTTAATAGATTTTTGTGGTAAGTGCTGTTAGCAAGCACCTTTGAAGGCCAGCCTGGCACACGAGAGGGTGGGTGGCCAGAATCACGCCCCATTGCCTTTGTTTCCCCGGTGTTGATGTTTACACACCGCACCAGGTACTTATTTAAGGCTGAGTCGACCTAGAGGAGGCCCCAGACCAGTTCAGATATTCACCACCGATGTTGGCAGTGAGCAGAAATCGAGCATTGGTTGTGAGGATTGAAGTACAGTGCGCTAGTCACATTGCCACCGCTCCCCACACACACACGTGGAAGTCCATTTGTTGCGAACCTGTATGCAGGAGACAGTCCAGTGGCCGGTACTCCCGTGCCATGATTCCCAGCGCACAGCTTTTGTCTTCTCACTGCCAGCACCTGAACACAGTTGTTTGGGCTCGGTTACACGGGACACCAATATACGGTTCAGACAGGAGTTAAGCAATGTTGCAAAAAACAATCGCACTGAAACAAGCAGGTTTTTGTAGTCAATATTGTCATTCATAATTATTCGGTTTGGCCAAACTTGTGAGCTGAAACAACCGGTGAGCTGAAACAATAATAGTTGGTGCGTTAAAATGCTTGTCCGTGAGACAATTGAATTTGTTTGGCTGTGTTGGGTTGGAGGATTCACGACACATATTTGATCTGGTTTTATGCAAACATTTTACATTGCATTATACCGAAATTTCCACAACCACCTGACTTGACGCATCCATAGCCACGCGCAAAGCACATTAGTCTTGAGTCAATCTATTGCTCGTCCTCGCTATCTTTATAGAACTCAATGATCTCGGTCTGACGCTGTCACTGTGATTTACGCTGTCATTATCGTCATCATCGATGTAATTGCCATCACTGCAAAGTTATGTTGGTTCATAAAGTAAAATTTAGAAATAAAACCCCCTAAATTAAATCACCGGGCATTACACATTAGTTATTGAGCGACCTGAATTTGATATTGCAAGTTGCGTGCGACTTTATAATACAGTAAATCCTCATAAAAACAGCAAGCCATAGTAATCAATGGTGGCACGACCTCTTCAGGGAGCTCCTTTCCAATCAAAGTAGTAAACTGTCCTAATGCAAGAACGCATGCCATTCTCCCATATTCTGCATTATGCAAAGGACCACACCGACGTTTACAGAGACATTGCCCTGGTTTATATGCCTGATCTAGCAGAAGATAGACACACAAAGCGTGTTCCTGTATAGATTTGTTGATGCATAGGTCTCCGATATGTTTTTTTTTTGTGGTTGTACCGCTAGTTGCTTGGCATGGTGTCTGACTTTTTTTTTCTCCACAGGTGCTGGGAGCGTCTTCAGGAACTGCTGTCTGACGTTTTTTTCTGCACATGCTGGGAGATTTTTTTTTTCATGGAACAGTTGGTGCTCCCAGCACGTGGAGGAACATCGTGGGGTTGTCAGTTCCCACAGTGAACCCGAAAATCTACACGGCATTAATTATAAACACACGCGGGCTGTTTTTGCCAACATTAAACTCAAGCGCGATGAGAGATGCTTCAGTGGGCACACCAGGACCCCCGACGAATGCGTGAAGTCGGCCTGCCATAGAACAAAAATGGATCGGTATATATATTTTTATTTTTAAACCGTTGATCAGGAAATGCTGTTTCCATTAAAGCGTTTGCTGACATCAGCGTGCGCTGTTATAAGTTTCATACCAAAAGTTGATTTGGAAACCACGTTTGTCTGTACAAACGAAATTTTAGCCCAAAACATTCACAAGGTGTTGTCAATAAAGTAGAGGAGTACTTTGCGTAACGCGCCCCCACCTCCCATCGCGTGAATTCGCAGTTACACGATTCATCTTTAAGGGACATACTTCACACTTATGCGCTCAAGAATTTTTTTTTTTTTAAATAAGATTTCTACATTAAAGTGAATTTCCAATGATATAAATTGAAAGTAAAATAAATATAAATTTCTGATGGCATCCCCACATTATTGTAGTGCCCAGTGTCACGGGCTGGGCGTCTAAGCCACCTTAGATCATCACGCGTGCTGCTGCAAAGCTGCCCACGGAAGCGTTCAAGAAGCCCCGAAATTACTCCCGATTAATTTATCTTTGTAAGTAGTAATCTTTTTAACCTTAATCCTTTTTTCCTAAACTCCTCGTTAAGTAATGTTTGTAACGTCAATAATATTACGATTAAGTATGAAAATTATACGCATTTTGCATATCCAGGGCTAAAATAGTGAAATTAAACTTAAAATGTACGAGGTAAAAGAGCCCCCTGATAACGTCGGTGGGAAAATCGGTCTCATACAGCGCGATGTGACTAGCGCCGCTGTTTTTCAGCAACGCATGTCGCGCGTTACACGAGGAACGAACGCATTTACGTGCCAACAAACGGTAGTCACATTAATTTCAGTGGAAACGTATGATCTAGTTTAAAGAGCCAACACAAGCTATCTATGCTCACCAGTAGAAAACATACAATGCTTGGTCAACCTACTGCTAAATGAAAACCACGGAACGCTTGCTCTGGTTCCACTTTGGCACAAGCGCAGCTAAAAGGATGGAGACTTTGTTGAAAGAATGTTTAATGTCCCTTCTATGAGTGTACACGATGTTGTGTTGGTTCAATAAGAAGTTATTGTAAAAAAATAAGATATTACTTTTACAGTATCTCCTAGGGAGTTGATTTTTTATATTTGTTTTACTTAAAGCATATTCATGCTTAGAATGTAAATAATTTTAATGTATATTTCTAGTTTCGAAACAAATGTTTTTATTCCACTTTGATTCTACAATTATTTTATACCGCAATGTGCCACGTCTCTTTTGCAAACAAGATTTGTTGTTTTAAACCACAGCTTTGAAATACATGTACGTGACTCTATTTGGACAATATGAAAGGCTTCCCATGCCACTTAAATCCTGGAGGTAATCGAATTACAGTTAAATGTAGGTTGGTGAAAGAGAGGTCCAGGACTACTTCAGACATCACTACTGATGATGTCAGCCTCAGCAGGCAATAAAAAACTTCAGTAGGTGTGTTTAAAGTTGACATCGCAGTGTGTGAACTCCATAATATAGGTATTTTGGGTAAGATTGCATAAATGTCATTAAAACTCGCCACCACCCGACACAGCCAATTAGTAAGGTTTGTCACGTAAACAGAACATGCCAATGCATTACTAGTACAGCACACCGGTGTGTTGGAGAGGAAATCCACAATATTACAATCCGAGTACGACGTTTCGCCAGTAATTAGAACTAGCTTCATCAGGTGACAGCCTGACTTGCGGAGAAATCCTCCTGTTTTGTTCATTAAATAGAGGGATAGACGCGATCTAACCCAACAAACCTATATTTTGGATATTGGTCGCGAAAGCCTACGTGGTAAAGTCTGTGAACTACTTCGCCACTTCTCAATGCTTCTGTTATCGGGCAGTGTTAATGAAGAATGACTGCTTTTTGAATGACTGATAAGACCATTCCCTTAATTTTTACTGTGATAAGTCTCAATAGTCTGAATGCCCTGGTGTCGCAGGTGAGTTACTCATGGGGACTGCGAACCCATATTTCACCAGTAAGCGGAGCTGTTCTACTGCTCATGCCAGCACGCCTTGCCCGCCTTGTGTCAACACTGCAAGGCGCATTAATGAACCAGCATCCAGGGGACGAGAGAGAGAGAGAGAGAAAAACCACGCAAAAACACAATTTATTGACTGATGTCTTTTTCCGTTAGCGTACAGTTAATGAAGCAGCTATCTCTAAGCAGCAGACTTGGCGTATTGCTTGTGCAAAGGCTTCTATAACAGCGACAATGTATTTCATTTATTATTACTGCTTTTTTTTCTTCCATGCCCCTTTTTTATTACTCCGCGATGTCTTGGCATGTTATTTATTTATATTAACATCATGATTTTTTTTCGCGCATGGGAGGCGGTAAATTATTAGAGCCTGCTGCACGATGATAAACTTCTGGTCCTCGGCTCAACGCGGACACTTCCTCCATGTGATTGGGTCCCGATTCGCTTCTCTGTGCGCCAGGTGTCTCATTCTGCCTTCGCCAGGTGATTATGCATCTCGGGAGACCTGCATCGGGGCGCATCAATCAGCATTTGTGCACGTAAGCTGGCAGACATTTCGACACCCCACGCCATCACCCTTTTTGTTTCATAGGTTGGCAGAAGAAACGGTAAAATTGTAAAAAAAAAAAACCCCAGGATATATCTGGGAATTGTGTTTTGTCGGATATAGAGCAGTGTCACTGCAATGGTTAGTGCACTGCGTTATGAATTTCGGCTACCCGAGTTTGATTCCTGGGCATGGGTAATAATATCTGTAGGCGAGTGATATTTGACCGAGGTCCTCCTACCCAATCCCTCCCCGCCCATCCCTTTCACCAACTAGTCCTGACCAGAATGGTGAAGTATGGTCAAACAACGCCAATGACCTAAATATACACTGACAAAGGGATGATGCAAGGGCATTTGTTTAAGATTTAGAAAAAAAGAATCATTGAATATCCCGACTTGAATACAATACTCGTCTTCACACGTGTTTAAGTCAAATGTCACGTCAAATAATTGTCATAAAAATGGAAAAATAAATACTGTGTGATAGATGCTGCACATTACCAGTCTTCGTTGCATTGCTACAATAAAAAAGAAACAATGTCAGTGCAACACTATTCTACTTCTGTAATACACAGTATTAATGGCTGCTTAACGTTATACATTGGAATTGTTCTACCTTATAGAATTATCCCAACACGCATGGTTTGTAAAGTATTTTTGTTTTAATGATGGCTCATTTGTGGAATAACTCAACGGTTTGACGGATATGACAGGTGAATGTAACTGTTGTTACCATGTACCCGTACGGATGTAAAAAGTCAGATAGATCATGAGTAATGAATGAGCATTTTTCCCTTATCAGGAAAGGTGGGCAAATAAACCCTATCTGAAATTACAGCCCTAACTGGTTGACATCCTGGGTCACAAGTAAACAAGCCACGCCATGATTACACTAATACCCACACCTCTTTCACCGTGTATATGTATACAATGTTTGTACAGAATCGTGGGACCCTTTTGAATAATGCGTTACAAATCTCACTACCGCACAACATACGTCTTCACAGACCGCACACAGAGACAAGAAATTGTTCACAACCAAAACAGTTGTTTTTGCCGGTCAGCAGTCTAAGTTGGAAACTGCAATGCAACGAGAAAAAAAAACAGCGATACGTCAAACCCCCCTACTCATTTCATAACTGAATTAAAATCAATCTTTGAAAAAAAAGTTTGTACTTCCAATTCCTGCTGTGACTTACACATCATCACTCCCCATCGTGATCAGAGACAGCAGCAACGCTGTCCACAGTCCACCAGGGAAGCTGCTGCCTACGACTCCTACACTAGATACATCATGCGTGAAGCCGAGAGCAAACACGTAGCCGTGGAAGGCAAACTGTGCGTCTGTAGGAAGAGAAACCCACCAACTCACCACCGCTACAACGCACCACGCTTCTCAACACAAAGAACTGCGCTCATAGCCTCAACGGAGTCGTTGTGTGCTAGCAGATCGAGCGCTTGCCGCACTCAGTCTGTCCGTGGCTCAGCCGACGGGCTTTCTCGGCTTCCCACAATCCCTTTGCACTGCAGCGAATCTTCATCATCATTACCGTCAGCACCGCCACCAGGAAGAGACATCACTTCCTGCTAGGCTGTGGCGCCACCTTCAGTCCTTGCCATGCTCACTGGCCATGCATTCCGATTCATTGGAGGGATTTAAAAAATAAAAGGTCCCACTCCACTCCCCTGTAACGCCTTGCTTATATCTTGCACAGGGAGACAACCCTGCGTAATTATAGTGTTCACGGAATAGTCAATTATATAACGTTGATGCAGTCTGATACAAATTAATTGGGAACTTGTGGCCGACAGATTACACGATGTAACACAATTTTTGTTCCTGGGTAGTAAGTGTTATTTCCTCATTGCTAATGCCTAAAAAGTATAGAAAATGGCTATTATTCCCCACAAACTTTGCTTTTGTGACGAGGGCATTGATATTTTGAAATTGACCTATTTTCAATGAGAAAACGGGCGAATTTGTGTCTTTTCGTTCACATAACGTCAGAAAAAAAACACGAATCAAAATGAACATGTATTCATAGTAAAGTAATACAAAAATTACTACAAAAGATTTAGCAGTGAGTAGTTTTTCGAGATTTACGATTAAACTGTAAATCACTTTCACAAATCAGCCCCCAAATGTAGTCTCCCATCATGTTCTCGTGATATTGTCCTTGGTAGCGGCATTCAAAGTCCAGTATATCCTGGTGGAAGCACTCGCCTTGCTCCTCCGAGTACGCTCCCATGTTCTCCTTGAGTTTATCAAGATGAGCATCAAGGATATGGACTTTGAGGGACATCCTACAGCCCATTGTGCCGTAGTTCTTCACCAGATTCTCAACCAGCTCCACGTAGTTTTCGACCTTGTGATTGCCCAGGAAGCCACGAACCATTGCGACAAAGCTGTTCCAAGCCGCTTTCTCCTTACTAGTGAGCTTCTTGGGGAATTCATTGCACTCCAGGATCTTCTTTATCTCTGGTCCGACAAAGACACCGGCTTTGACCTTTGCCTCAGACAGCTTAGGGAAGAAGTCTTGAAGGTACTTGAAGGCTGCCGACTCCTTATCTACAGCTCTGACATTGTTTCATAAGGCCCAATTTGATGTGCAGTGGTGGCATCAGCACCTTCCGGGGGTCCACCAGTGGCTCCCACTTGACGTTGTTCCTCCCCACAGAGAACTCGTTCTGCTGTGGCCAGTCCCACCTGTGGTAGTTCGCCTTGGTGTCCCTGCTGTCCCAAAGGCAAAGATAGCAGGCAAACTTTGTAAAACCGCCTTGGAGACCCATCAGGAATGCCACCATTTTGAAGTCTCCGATGACCTCCCAGCCATACTCATTATACTTCAAGGCGTCCAGCAAGGTCTTGATGCTGTTGTAATCCTCTTTGAGGTGCACCGAGTGAGCCAGGGGAAGAGACAGGTACTTGTTACCATTATGTAGCGGCACGAATTTGAGGCTTCTGGATGAGCTGTCAATGAAGAGGTGCCACTCATTCTGGTTACAGGTGATTCTGATTGCCTTGAACAGACTGGTCACATTGTGGCAAAAGCAGAGCCCATCTTGATGGGTGAAGAAACTGCAAAAAGGTGATGCTTCCTCTGATCTGCGACTTGCACACTTTCATCCAACAAGTTCCACTGCTTGAGCCGAGACGTCAAAAGCTCGGCATTGGACTTGGTGAGACCAAGATCTCTTATCAAGTCGTTCAGGTCTTTTTGGTTGGGGTAGTATGGGTTTCTTTCCTCAGCTCCACCTCTGAAATTGTCATCTGGATCTACGTCTTCCAAGCTCTCTGACTTGCTGCTCTCTTCTAAAGACGGCTGGTATCTCTCCGGAGGAGTGGGTATGGGGAGCTCATGGCAGTGTGGCATTGGGGCGATGGATGAAGGAAGATCGGGATATGTGATAGCAGGTGCATTCTTGCCAGTCCTACGTTTGGAAGGGTCCACTATGCAGAAGTAGCAGTTGCTTGAGTGGTCAGTGGGTTCCCGACAAATTCTTGGGATAGCGAACTTCATGGCTCTCTTTTCCCCTCTGTACCATCCTACAAAATGTATTAATTTCACCCATGTCTAATGTGTAAGAGATTATCGCAACATTTTTCATATATGATATATTTTTTCATGAACATTTAAAATTGTTAAATATTGAAACATTAAAAACTTTTACAATTTAAAAAATTGTAGCAAATTTTATAACTTAAATTCCGAGCAACAATTGTCCATCTTACCTTTCAGAGTTTTTTTGCATTGCTCGCAGATGAAATGAGATGCCCAGGGTTTATCTTGGAACCCGACAGGCATGCCGAAATATGCCTTGTAGGCCTCACACATCTTCGCAGATGCTTCCACAGAGTACTTTTTCGCTCTTGTCTTGATAAATTGGCCGCAGACATAGCAGAATGCGTCTGCCGGATGCTTGCAGCCTCTTGATGCCATCTCAGAAAAATGCAGATTTGTATCCACTTAGGCAGCTGGAACTAAATAGAACTGGTGGGCTTAAGGCCCCTGTATTTATACTACTATTTTTATTACTGGAAAGTTCTAGAATGTTCTAGAAGTTACTCTAAGTTTACTCAGCACTGAATCTATCTGTAATGTTCTGGAAAATAGGTACATTTCTAAATATCACTGTCCTGGTCATAGAAGCAAAGTTTGTGGGGAATAATAGCCATTTGCTGTACTTTTGAGGCATGAGCAATTAGGAAATCACACTTACTACCCAGGAGCAAAAAAAAAATTGTTACACTGTTATTTTTGTTGCTTTTTTTCTGAATACTCTGATGTAAAAAAAATCATGCAAATTAATTGCAGTGGCAAACACATTCCAAAAGGACTGTGGTATCTGACACAGCCATTCCCCGAGGAGCAGGAATTGTTCAGGAGCAGGAATTGTTAAAGAGCAGTCCGTACACTTCCTGTGGTCCACATTTCCATTTTTATCGCAGATGTGTGCGATGTATCACTGCCTAGTTTACATTTGAATGGTGAATATATTGGTGAAAATGGGAACATGGGTGGTGTTGAGCAGGAACTACAGTTTTAATAATAATGATGCCCTTTATTCAACGTAAGCCTCGCTGACTCTTGAGGGCACTGAATGTTACGTTTGGCAATTCTATATTAGGATGCTTGACATGTCGGTGGAAATTGGAATACCTGTAGAAAACCCACATGTGAAAATAACACTGAAATTACATGCAGATACATTAAATAACAAATGACTGTACTGCAATCTCTTGGGCACTTCATATCCCAAGGCTACGACACCTGGCATTCCCAGGCAGTCTCCCATCCAGGTGTAGTGAGCGACTTCCGCGACACGTCGAGTAGAAGGCTTATTTTTTTTATTAAGAGCACACTGGGCGATGCATTGTGTAACGCGGCTACATATAGGCGATCCTAACACGTAGCCCAATTTCCGGCTCCGTTACGAAAGCTGTTCGACCAGCGCAGCGACGGGGAGAGTCTTCCAGAAGATCAGCCACGTGGTCGGAGATGAAGAGATGACGACGAACAGCGATGCAGCAAGTGCCTAGGACCCGCAACAGCCACGAACCTCTGGTTCGGTCTCCCTTAGATCTGTCCCGGCGTGGCCAAGCTCCACCTCTGGTCACGCCCCCTTTTCAGAACCTTCGAGCTGGTTCCCGGAGCTTCTCGACTGACTCCGCCTTTCACCTTTACTCCAGATACGCCCCCCTTATAATGAGGTATTATGTAATGCAGCCATGATCGTAATTACCACTCCCGGCCGACAGGCGTCACCCTGTCATTACACAAGTATTAACCTAGGCTTGGGGTGCCCGCGGTAGCGAGATGTTAACTTTCTCGCCTGATATGCAGGAGGACATGGGTTCGATCCCGACCCTGATGCCTGTATGTTTTTATTTTAATTTGCATGTTTTCCCCGTGGTCGCGCGGATTTTTCTCCCTCCACTTTTAGAAACATGCGTTTAGAGTATTTGGCTGTTATAAATTTCCACATGATAAGCTACTTTCTTTGCGCTCTCATTTGTGGCCAAAGCGTTTCTGCAAAATACCTATATAGCTCCAGTGGGCCTTAAATGGTAAACTAAAAAAAAAAATTGATTTAAAGCTTTGGTGACTGCAGGGATTCATATTCTAGGTTCTTTCGGTAAGGTCACGTAGAAGGGAAACAATAAAATAATAAAAATATAAAACAATAACATTCTCACGACGTTTCGACTGCAACACATGCAATCATCATCAGGTGTGAAAACCACAGCAAGAAAATTTGAAAAAAGTGGCGGTTATTTTTAATGTTAGCACTACGGAGAGTGATTTGACAGTTTGTTCAAATGGACGAGTCCATCTATGTTCGGAAAAGAGAAGGGGGGAGACGAAAATAATGGATGCCGTCTGAAAGCCACCGTAAGCGTGAACAATCAATTAAGACCCGAAATGGTTTATCAAATCCTTCCAATGATTGCTAAGCCAGAATCCATCTTCTCGGTTGAAATTGTCTCTGTGTTTGTATATCCACATATACACATATACAAACAGACAATTTCAACCGAGAAGATGGATTCTGGCTTAGCAATCATTGGAAGGATTTGATGAACCATTTCGGGTCTTAATTGATTGTTCACGCTTACGGTGGCTTTCAGACCGCATCCATTATTTTCGTCTCCCCCCTCCTCTTTTCCGAACATAGATGGATTCGTCCATCTGAACAAACTGTCAAATCGCTCTCCGTGGTGCGAACGTTAAAAATAACTGCCACTTTTTTCAAATGTTCTTATGTGGTTTTCACACCTGATGATGATTGCTTGTGTTGCAGTCGAAACGTCGTGAGAATTTTATTGTTTTATATTTTTATTATTTTATTGTTTCCCTTCTACGTGATTTTACCGAAAAGAACCAAGAATATAAACTAAAAATAGTTTATAATTTAGTTTAAACCCGGCTTAGCTTCTGAATGCTCAAGTGATCAGGCATATTTTTGGTGAATTGGTCATGATCTCCTTCCCTGTTATAATCCTCTTACCCATTTACATTACTTTGACATGTCGAGAATGTAT